AGTTTGGTGGAATAGTCTGGAAAATTCTATGACATTCTGTGACATACTGAGTGAAATATTAAGTTATTTCATTCCACTTTTGACACTGTTTCCCATAACATACAGAAGCATATTTGAGGCCAACATTAAGCCATACTTTTTACACTAGCTGATACATGGTTATCAGTCATCTAGTGCAGATATATTCCAGTTCTCTTTTAGACACAAGAAATCGATTCTGTAGGGAGAATATACATATTTTCATCAGCAAGGGAAGACAAATAAGACTAACAGTCAGTCACTAATATTAAGAACTTGGCCCAATTAAGACTAGATCAAGAGGGTGTACTCTGGTCTGTCCTGCATCACACTCATCGTATAGTGCCTGAGCAGCAGAAAGTAGGTTTTGAAGCCACATATTAGTTCGGGCTAATCCGTGTTAGAGGCTTAGTTTGATCTCCAATTGGTTTGTGAAGATAGGGAGTATTGTTATAGCTCTGAGAATCATTGCATAGTCGTACATCTGTATTCATTGAAGTTATAGCACTGCATCGCGCCAGTTATTGACTTTCTTTAGGATCATAGCACTGCATTAAGCCAGTTATTGATTCTGTTCCCCCTTTAGTCACTGTGTACTTCCTTTGAGAACTCAACACACTTTTCCCACAAACAACCACATTATCGACCGTTGGTATTTGTCTGAACTGTTGACCATGGTAGGATACTGAAAATCAGTGATTTTACTGTTTTCATATCCTAGTAAGACATTGTGCTCTGCAATGACTCTGAGAATAGTGTCATATGCATGGCTGTCACCTGTAGTTCCACTGGAGACAGGTGCCAAAAGCTCATCAGAACCATTATCAGATACCACCGCACCTTCCATGGCCCATTGTGATGCCGTCCAACCTTTGGTAAATTTAAGTCACTCCTTTTTCACAGAGAACTTCACTATCTGTAGTGCCTCCATGAGGACTGGGCTGATGCAATTGTGGTTTTTCATATATGTTTCGCTGCTTGACAAAAATACCCACTCTGTTACGCTGACCGTCGGTCGGCGTGTGCGAACTAGGATAGGTCTTCTCAGCGACGACTCGAATGAGTCTACTGAAGCTGAGCGTGGTCTGGCTTTGACGGAGCGTCAAGGGGTCCTCCGGCGATCTCGGTAAGACGGCGCTCGTCGAGATGCAGGGCTAGCGGATACGTGCTAAGTCGTATGGGGGCGACTTAGAAGTGCGGTCTCACACAAGGAAGCTGGTTAAGGCTTAGATGAGCAAGTTCTGGGAATGAACCTAGTAGATTAAAGTAAAGTCTAAGTACAATAATCTGTGTCTACTTATAGGGAAGTACTACAAGTATTCTAGCTCAGTCTGTAATCAATAGTATATCGTAAATCTATGATAGCCAGACATGAGGTTCAGATAAGATACATGAGGCTTAACCTCTGATCAAGCATGCTGCGCCAAGGGCAGCTGGGCATAGGTACAGGAAGCGCCAAGCGCGCTCCGGATCTTCATGAAGTGACATGCGGTATGCATGCGCTGATCTAGGGTGACCATGAGGCGTACAGCCTCCATGGTTCAGGTACAAGGCCGTCTAGGCCAGGGGCGGGGTCATAGCGCCAGGCGGGGTCATAGCGGTCCAGACCGCTGTCTTTCTAGGTGCGGGCGGCGCATCGCTGCGCGGGGAGTCTAGTAGAGCGGGGGCAGGCGTAGGGAGAGCTGAGGCTCTAGTCGGTGTTACAGATCCCTGTAACACACTCACAGAGAACAGCAGATGCCTGGATTGGGAGGTAGTCCATAGCAATGGTGTAAACTGTTAGGAATGTTGCCTCAGACATCTGGTCAAAACCTCATGGTCAACAACAGAAGATGTAACTTAATAGAGATCAAGACTCTCACCTGTTAGAAGAAAAGTACATTTGTTCCCTCTGGGCTGATATTAGCTGTATTGTAAGCCTCGAACTCCTGATTAACCATCTGGACAATATTATGGCAATGTGGTAGCACATCCCTCTCAGGAAGTCCATGGATACATGAGCCTAGCATATGTGACTGTAGTCTTGAGACTCAGTTCGTTGGAACTGGTATGTCAGGGGTCCTTTGTGCTCTCTTGGCATGCATCTGCAGGACATATGAGTGCATGCTCTTGTTGATTAAATAGATGTACTAGTTTGATAATGAACTCCTTGGCTGAACTAATTCAATTTTTGTCCTAATGATCTGTAGCCCACAACATTCAGCATGTGGGATCAACAACTAAAACCAATCGTAAGACATCAACCTTTTTGAAAATGCAAGGGACTGACACATCACAACTGCATATGCATTCGTGCAGGCCATCTGGTCGTCATACTTGTCCGCCCAAGTCAAACCAATGTTGATGAGTGGCGCATAGTGCGGGGCCCCATCGGCCAACTGCTTCCAATCCTCAAGTAACCTTTCAAAAGCTGGAACCGCACTACCCAACATGAGAGTGCTCTCGCTCTATATATATGTTGATCACATGCAGAAAACAGGGAATTCTGTTTTCAATCAGATTGTAATCAATCTGGTGTTTCTCAAGTAAGTGGGAGAGCTCCTTCATGGATGTTTGATTATTTGCTGCATTGTCCAAAGTGAAGTGTCCAGGCTAAATAAAGTCAGAGTGTGCCATATAGCACAGCTAAACACTGACATCCTTTGTGACATCAGCACAATCAAGGAGATGTAGTATTATTGAACCAAGATATTTGCCAGTATGGCTCCCTGGAACATGGTGGAAAGCAATCAAGGCTGCCTTCAAGATGAGCACTGACATCTTCTCTTCCCTGGCAATCCAGTGGGTAGTGAGTGCCATGAATAGGCGAAGTTTCTGATCTGACCAGAGGTCAGACATAAAAAATATTTTTCCTTGTGCCCTTTGTAAGAATATGTAAGACACTTGATGGGACTCTCAACAACCAGACACTTATTGCAAGATCACTTTTCAATACCTGGAAATACTTGTGCCATGCGACAATAATCAATTCACGGAATTTGGTGTGATGGAGAATGTCTGACTCATTGACATCCTTTTGCAGAAAACGTATCAGGCACTGAAACTCCACACATTCAAGTATGTTTATTGCCTGCAGATCAATTAATGAGGAAACATAGAAAGTAAATACCAACTCACCTGATTGTCCACAACTACAAACATCACTAACTGACAGTGCATCTCATCAATGCTAAAATCTGGTATATGATCGTCCAGAGATAAGGCAGAAGTGCTAGTCATGTGCTTGTACATGGATATTTGGTGTGAACTGTCTGCCTTTTGCAACTCCCTGAACATAGATGTAAGAAAGAACAAAAGAATGGTAGTGATGGAGACAGCAGCAATGGGGGCAGCAGTAATGTGTGCAGCAGTGGTGGGGGGAGCAATGATGTGGGTAGCAGCAGTGGGGACAATGAGAGGTACAACAGCAGGAGTAGGCGTGGTGGCAATCTGAGACCTCTACCCTTGTAACAGTGAAGATTCAAAGACAGAGTCTTTATAAACCTTCATCCTGGGGAAACAACAGGGAAACTCCAGTACTGAGTCAACCGATGACAGTAAGTCCAATGTGTTACACAAGTGAAGTAATGGGTCTAATTTATGAACACACCATCATTAATTGTGATACTATGTATACTCGACAACATCTTTCTACAATAGCAGTAGTCGCAGAGGTAGCAACATGTAGTTTTAGCTGACTAAACTGCAACAATACCTACTGGTGGGCTGACTGGCACAACTTGCCTAGCTGGATTGACAGTTGCCATCATACTACTAGTACCCTCAATGCTCACTAGTTCTTTCACCAAACTCCCATAAATGTACTCTGGGCTCCGAATGAACAAATTCAAAGCCTGGCTGCCACCACCCTCTAACTTGAACTTTCTGATTACCTCCTCTCCATGTGTGCATGTCCAAAAATCAGCAAAGTCCTGCAATAATTTCCTACCAGACCAAGTACCCAGTAAGTTCCTGAAGATCTTAAAGCAGTGGTAAAATCAAGACTTGACCTCAAAGATAATCAAGATGATTTAAGCCTGACTTAGGATTTCTCAGCTTGCTTATTTGTTCTATCTAGACTTCTTCCTAATTATCTCTTTTAGGGTGGTGTGCAGTTATTCTTGAGGCTCTTCAAAACTCTCAACCAAACACATTTGTAGGTTCCTTTGAACTGATTACTGAGTGATTTTGAACAATATCCAAGGCAATCACCGATATTAGACCTGTAGAGTATGCCATAATCTTAGTATTTATATTAGAAGAGTCAGATTTTGGAATCAGAGCAAAGTCAACCTTATTAGCAACTTAGTCATACACACAAATATCAATGCTGACCACATTGTTAACAGATTCTACTACTTCCAAGACACGCAAGAGCTTCAAATCATGATACCACTTCCTATCCATGAACAGCCAACCACACATCTGTTACAAGTAACATCAGTCACGTAGCCCCCTATCATTTTCCTTCCATCCTCACTGTCACCCTTTACTGGCTCGTCCTTCTCTACCAAATATCTGTTAACTGGATCCTCAGGACCATTCTCATCCCTCGCATTATTGCCTTCCCTAGAAATGTGCACATATGTTTGTTCTCCTATGACTCAACCACTGACCTGGACTCTTCTCTCACTTGTCCTGACTCATGCCACCAATGTGGCTCTCCCTCTTCTGTCTCCTTCTGACTGCGCATTACGCATGTTGTATTCTACTGTTAATTCGTTCCAACATTTCTCAGTCTCATTCTGCAATTGACCATCCACCACTAATTCAGCTATATTGCCACCATACCTATACCCTTCCTGGTTCCCCTTTACCCCTACCTACAGTATGGTAAACTAGCCTTGAACCACTTAGTATAAGTGATTCAGAAGCTGAGAATGATGTCTAATAACTCTGGAGAGACTAACTATGTGTTGATGATATCATTGTAAGAATGGAGTAAATGACAATATCCAAAAGACAATAGCCTTGCAAGTCAAGTCCTTTATGTAAGTCCCACCATGGACTACAAAAACTCCATCCCTCATCATATTAAGAAGTTATTGAGGTTTGAGCTGGTCACCATCCAGTCCTACATCTGGATTAATGTATGTGAGGTCCAATACACTGTATTTAAGCATGGCACAAACAGTCACTTTGACTTCAATAGTAAGGATGCAGAGACATTTGCAGAAGGGGTACATCCACATTTTTCTATTTACTTTCAGAGATATTAACACACTACAGATAATCTACCCTAAGATCAAGATGGACAATATTGAATGCATCTTAAGTGAGTATCATTGATGGAGGTGATGGAGTTAGAGGAGCCTACAATCCAGAGTGTGTGCAAGTCTCATCCTGTGTGGGACTCCATGTAGGAGGCTGCTCTGAACCACATCAGGAAAAACTGTTTTGCACTAGAGAGCTTTATGGATAGCATCCAAAATGGCCTAACTTTAACAGCTTTAGGAACTATAAAGCTCTATAAAGAGCTCTATGGCAACTTTGATAAGGGCTATAACTTGGGGTTTTATTGGAAAAGTTTTCACGGTCAAGGTGCTTTCTTGAACCATCCACTTTCAAGTATTTTGCTTATAACTCACTAGGATCTTAACCTATTGATGTCATAAGACTATGGATAGACTTTCCTTGACAATGGCTAAAACTTTGATTTTCATCGGAAAATGTTCCCACAGTCAAGGTGCTTTCTTGAACTATCCACTTTCAAGTATTTTGCTTATAACTCACTAAGATCTTGACCTATTGATATCATAAGACCATGGATAGACTTTCCTTGACAAAGGCTATAACTTTGATTTTCATCGGAAAATGTTGCCAATCTAGGCCCCCTAGCGAGGGGGCCGAGGAACGAGGCCTCCGCTGCATGGTGAGCGTAGATTTTGGTCTTTGGCATGAGGGGCCAGGCTGACCACTGATCTACACCACTCCAGCTGCCTGCCTTCTCTGAAGATAGGGCCCAGGTCAGTAGTGGGAGGGAAAAGTTAGTAAGGCGGCAGGGATGGAAATGGTTTCGACCTTGCGAAGGGTCTCATCAGAGGGCTTACCACTACCCTAACCGCCTTACCTCTGTTTGTGTTTAGACTACGCTACTCCTAAGCCTTTTATGTGGAAAGGGAGTTTGATGTATGGACCCTGCGTGATGAGGGCTGGCCTTGACCCAATCTAGGGGAGTGTATGAATGTGGGATAACCTATATCACAATGAGGATTCCTCTCATCGGGCTATAGACCCCTAGGCAATAAGGAGCTGGCACAACGACAGCTTTCGCTTATTGCCCTGCACTTTGTTGCATGCTTGCATAGCCCCGATAGTGCAAAGACAAACATTCACCAAGTCTTGTGATGTGGCTTTGTTTGGCACAGCTTATATAAGCAAAAGTGCGGTCAACCACAAGTCTTTTCCCACCTTTTCCTTCCTTTCCTTCCTTCTCATTCTCCTTCTATTTAATAATTTTCGCATTTTTGGGTATTTGGTAAGTCTTTGTTTTTCTTTTTTTTCTTTTCCTTCCCTCTCTGACCCTCTCCTTCTAGCTCCTACTTCCTTCCCCTCCTCCTCTTCCTTTCCCTCCTCCTCCTCCTCCCACCACTTAATAATTTTCGCATTTTTGAGTATTTGGTAAGTCTTTTTCTCTTCTTCTGTTCTTCCCTCTTTGACACCTTCTAGCTCCTTATTTTCGCATTTTTGCCTCTTTTGTAGTTAGTAGTTTATGTGTTGTAGTAGTTCCTTGAAATATAATTTGAAATTTTCGCATTTTTTAGACTTTGAGAGCTACAATGGCAAAACTACCAAGAGTTATAATAGTTTTGGTATATTTTTTCCAGCTATAGCAGCTTTAGAGAGCAAAATTGCACTCTATAATAGGCACTTGTCTATAGATCCTATGGTGGCTTTGGGTACTATTGTGACTATATAGAGCTATATAGAGCTATATAGCAGAACAGTTTTTTCTGATGCAGATCTTCACCGCCATCTATTTTTTTTTTGGGTTCCAATTTCTGTCCATTGGGGTAAAGTATCCTATGTCGTACAGTACTAACTAGTCTATAAGGCCCCTGCCTTTTCTACATCTCTGGACTCGTGAATGCCCTAGTGTGAGGATGTCTTCCATCGGTCTGCCATTCCTGCTGGCCATTTTAGGCGTGCAGTCCATTCGAAAATGAAGTGACTGCTCTCCTTGTAACGTAGTGTGTGGGTAACTAATCATAATGGTTGTGACTATAACATGTACTCAACTGCCCTGAGGGGCAAAGACTATCTATCTTATAGCTTACTGCCACTATATTGATTGTCACCACCACACATATAACAAGTTTAAGTTATCAGTTGCTCAGGCTAGTACCAGTACTTCACTCTTGTCTGATCTAACAACTAGCCTCTCATCCATCCCCACTACTTCATCCTCAACTGATCGGCCACACATACACTCCTCTGGATTATTGATTGATGCTAAACCTGAATGTTCAGTGAAGAAAACAAAGGTTGGTAATGGGAAGGTTACTAAGTCAAAGTGAAGAAGTCCAAGAAGGTGAAGGAAAGAGTGAATAACCATTAGGCTTAAGCTGGAAGGACAAGTGTCTGTCCATACATATGCATATTTTAGTGCTTGCATTGTTGTTATGTTTGGACTGAGTCATGCTGCCCATATTATTGCTGACATTTAATACTACTACCATTCATGCAGTTTACTTTCATCACTACATACTTGTTCCATGATTTGTGTATCTGTGTACTTGTACTACTAGTAGGTTTTGCCACATGTATAATGCCCTTATGCACCTAAGATGGCTTTTACCTTTATCTTGACCAATAGAATCACTGCAATGGGCTGATCCTCACAGCCGAAGTTCTGTGACGCCTGCATGAAGGCAAAGTCCACACATCAACTGTTCCCAGATGAGACAAAGAATAGAGTGCTCACCTATGGAGAGCTAGTCCATATGGACCTGTGGGGGCCCACACAGACACTAAGCATCATGGGATCACTGTACTATGTCAGCTTCACCGATAATTACAGTTGGGAGATCAAACTGCACTTCTTGAGGCACAAGCATGAAGCCTTGGATGCCTTCAAACAGTATGAGGCCTAGATTACCAGACAGTGTCCTGGCACACGTCTGTGAAGAGTATGGTCCAATCGCAGCAGAAAATACCTGAGTGAGGAATTTAATAAGTACCTCAAGGACCAGGGTATAGACAGACAACTTACTGTCTATCATTCCCCTCAACAAAACAGAGTTGCCAAACAACTTGATTGTATGCTAGTAGAGCATGCCAGAGCTATGCTACTGGCCTAGGACATGCCCAAGTTCCTATAGGCCAAGGCTGTTAGCTATGCATCATGGTTGAAGAACAGGCTACCTTCTAGTGCAATCCCAGGTCATGCTCCCCACAAGCTCATCCATAAGATGAAGCCCACCCTCTCACAAGTGCATGAATTTGGCGCCAAAGTATTTGTCCATCTCCAATATGTGGGGAAGCTTGAAGTCAAGGCCAAGGAAGTTGTTTTCATTAGTATTGATAAGTAGAGCAATGAATACTGGGTCTACTAGTCAGGTAAGAGGAGGGTATCTGTCGAGCGTAACATTAGTTTTGCACCAGTGACAGTGCATGTCATGGACAAAGAAGAGTCCACGATCACTAATAGCAAGCACACACCAAAGAACATCTAGCCTATCCCTATCACTTTGCAATAGCAACTCTAGTCATCTACTTCTCTACGACAGGAACATTCCCAAACTCCACCAACTCTAAGAGTCATCCATGTTCAACTGACCCAGGCTATTATGTAAAACTCCACAAGGGAGAAACTGTGAGCATGGCATTAGAAACCCTGCAGGAAGCATCAGAACTCAACCTTCTAGACAAAGAAGCGCACATTCACCTTAGCAGCAGTAGAAACAGAGCTGACTCTACAACAAGCATTGAATGGTCTGGATGCTGTTGAGTGGCAGGAAGCCATCAACCATGAAATAAGTCAGCTCGAAAAGTTAGGTATGTGGGACATAGTAGATGCACCTCAAGGCATAAATGTAATCCCCTACCATTATGTCCTGGCCATGAAATGTGGTCCCAATGGCGAGAAGCTCAAGCTCCACACCCATCTTGTCGCTAATGGCTAATGCCAGAAGTATGGAGTTGACTTCTTTGAAACATTCATACCTATGGCCAATATGAGTACTATATGTACCATGCTGACAATGGCTGCTCAGTGGGACTGAGAGATACATTAGGTAGACATCAAAAGTGCATACCTTTATGCGAGTCTGCAGGAGAAAATCTATATAAGAGTGCTCCTGGGATATCTGAAGGATGGTCAGGAGGGAAAGGTGCTGAAGTTGAAGTGGAGCTTACCTGGGCTAAAGCAGGCTGGGTTCGAGTGGGCAGAAGAGTTGGCTAGAGCATTTCATGAAATGGGATTCAGTTGATTGAAGGTGGATCAGGCAGTATATTTTAAATGCACCTCGAATGAACACATCGTCATCACCGTGTCAGTAGATGACATGGCTGTCATCACAACCATGTCTCCTATATCCATTATTTCAAGGCCGAGCTTCAAGAATATTTCAAGATCTCTGACCTAGGAGAGTTGAGTTGGTTGTTAGCTCTCAAGGTAACCAGAGACAGAGTTGCATGCACCTTAACGCTCTCACAGAAAGCATACATTGAACCATTGTCAAATGTTTCCACCTAGGCGATGCCAAGAATGTCCAAACACCCATGGAAGCAGGAACTATCCTATCCGTGGATCAGTCTCCCAACATGCACACCAAGCTTCAAGCCATGCATGACGTACCTTATTAATATGCTATTGGCTTGTTAATGTATGCAGCCATGAGCTTTACTCACTATAAAGTCCCCACCACTATGATACACGTATCTCAGTTCTTTTAAATGATAACATGTAAGTCTGTAGAGTCTTGTGCGTCAGCTCTTAGCTGACGAAATCACATAGCATACCTTTGTGATTCTAGGTATAGCATTAATAAAGAGTTCTTCTAAATGATACTTTTAATTAAAAGCTTAAAATACTTTCACATCTATGCTGTAGACCTAAGCATATACAAGTATATGGGTAGCTTACTGCTCATATTGTAATGAAATACAGTATTCTCAGTAGTACAACTGCAGTTCGGCTATGGGTGAGCTAGGCCACTTATATATAGTTTGGTCTGGTTCATTAGCCACATGAAGTCCCACAAACCAACTGTCAGCCAAAAATTATGAATAGCAGCTTGAGCTGGCTTGAGGCCAGCTTAAGGTAGCTAAGCTGATTTGTAAATGCACATATTTTCTTTTGAGTATTGAAGTCTCATTTCCAGTTACATTTACTATTGGATTTTTGTACTCCTCAAAGTTCAAGTCATCAAGCACTATGAATCTCATGAAGTGCCAGAGTGTATCAGAGGAGACTTATCAACCTTTGTGCAGGCTTTCAGTGAGGAATTCATAGTCCACCACCTGCAACACTTTGCAGAACATTATCACATTGAAAACATCATCCCTCCCCAGCACGGTAAGTTGAAATTTATATAGACTAGGTAGCACAGCAACAATGGTGGTGCTCTTGAGAGATGGTGCTGATGGTATTGACATTGAGAGATAGGTGCTAGTGGTGCCCTTGAGACAATGCTGATGTCCAGGATAGTGGTACATGGCTCAACAGACAATGTCATGTAATAGTGATGACCAAAGAACCTAGTTGAGGAGTGTGGAAGGCATTGTCAATGCCTATGGTGGGGGAGTAGACAATGGTGACAGTAGTGGTGAAGGGTAAGGGGTGTGGGAGTAATGCCTTCCTCCATTTAAGAAGGTTAGGTATATGACAGGGTACATCGGAATGAGGAATTTGGTTAGTATAGGCGGCAGACAGTGCTGAGCTGCTTACTCATATAGTATACACCAAATAGCAGAAGTCCTAAAATACATGAGACAGTATATAAAATAAACATAAGCCCTGCCATAAGTTTTGGGTACATATTTATTATCAAGTCACTAACTAATATATAGTACCAATAGTGCCAGCTCAAGACATTCAAGAATATGCAAAGTTTTATTTTAATATTGGGATGAATGATGTGAAAATTGTGCACCACCTCCAGGATCACTATGATAACGAGAAGTATGGGCTAAGGTAAGTTCATTACAGAGTACTAGACTATGAGGTGAAGCAAACTCACAAGTTACTACATCAGTATGGTCAGTTTTCGGCGATGCATAATGCATGGGGCTGGAAACTGAGCCAGACAACAGAAACATACCCTGGAGTCCATTGAGCAGCAAGTCATGGAAATTCACCAGCACTTTCCTCACAGAGGAGCTGAATTGATCCACAGAAACCTTCGAGAGCAATTTGGTTTTCATATACCTCAGTATCTTTTTTATTTTTTTCTGATAGCACTAGTACCTGACAAATTGCAAAAGACCACTGATTGTAAGGCTACTCAAAATCATTGAACCTAGTGCTGTCCAAGCCTGATGTCATGGCCACCTGAAGCATAGACACTTTTTGTTAGTTATATGATCATTCACCTCTACAGTATGCATTTATATGTCTTTTATATGTCTAACTATGTCATTACACATATGGTATCATTCCTCACACTTTGCTACCTATTTACATGACTTTCTGACCTCCCTAGGACATCCCTAGGTCGAGTTATTACTTATCCCTTTGATTGTGGCTTGTCTGTTTACATTTTGTTACCATATGTCACCCATATCCCAGAGTCCAGTGCTTCCTGCCTCTTTGGCAACTTACTCTGGACTCTAGGTACTGTACAACTTCACTACACTATTTAATAGATAGGCAACTTACTCTGGACTCTAGTCTGATCTCTTCTGGTCTCTCAGTAGCCTCTAGAAGCAGCCCACTTCATTCCCATCTCAACACTTTTGGTGTGCAGATGTCAATGATGTGTAGACACAAGACCAGCATGACAAATGGCAACACTTTGGCTTATTCCTGCATGTCAGCCTTGATTTCAAGGTACGTTAAAATGGTTTTTGAATGACTATCATCCTTGTCAATACCGTAATGGTGCTTAGTAGTTAAAAAAAGAAGCCTCTAGCATGCTTTTAGCATATTGTTTAGCATAATTCTTGAAAATGGCCTGAAGAAGTACTGCATGTTTCTCAGCTGATTCAAGCTCCCAAGCTGTGGCAAGAGCCCGTAAGCTCTTGCTTTCAATGTCAGCTCGCTTTGCAATGACAGCTGTATAGACAGTTTCATCAGACATAGCCTTCATGCTTTTTTTGAAAATCTCTTTGCCCTGGTACAATGCTTGTCAATGTGACATGACCTGTGACTAGTAGATAGTGCTTGAATACCTGATGAACATCTACCAGACTAAGATCAACCTCGTTGCATTTCAGAAGATTCTTCATCATGAAACAGTGTTCCAGAGCAGTAGGGACATGCCCTCCTAGTTGATAGGGCCTGTCATATCCCGTATTCCGGACCTATATCCGACAATGTTCCCACGCCTCATCCGGACCTCCAGACCCCCTGTCCATGTCCTTTATCTGTCAAGATGCCTGTACACCTGGATCCCTGTACCTTTGCATATCCACACATCCAGATCCAAAACCCGGACACTCAATCTGATATCCACTTGCCAGGATCTCCGGATCCGACCTATGCTTCATATCCGAACCCAAACCTTAAATCAGCGCTCATCCCCTTATGGTAATCACCTGTTTCCGGACATCCAGACATCCGGATCTGACCCGCGTCTATCTTCCGTGCCTTTTCCCTTTGTATGTTTCTTCTTGAGTTAGTCTATACTCATTTTCTGTACCTCATTTCATTTCCGCCTTTATTTTCCTATGTTCTCATTTCCGTCTTCATTTACTATTTTCCGATAGACTAGTGTTTGACTTTTCTATACACTCCGTCCACAGCCTTGCATAGCTTCAGACTGCACTGACTGATTCTCCGTTATGTCCTCCATAGTATATAAACCCTGTAGAAACTCCTGTATTTCCTTAGTCTGAATATTACACATATGAGTCCTCGCACTAGACCTCACACTAAGTCCTCATACTAGTTCTAGTCCTCCGACTTAGTCAATATCCATCTCAGGCCTAGGGAGAAATTCCCTAGGCTGGAGCTCCGCTCCTCCACTCCTCCAAGTTTCTGGAAGTTCCTCCAGAACTTTCCCGTGGTCCTCCAGACCTATTCTGCTTCGGACTTTGTCCCTGCAGCCTTTCCTCTGTCTCCATTCTCCTCAGGATTCATCCTGAGTAGCCATTACACATATCTGTACCAGGACGAAACCTCATAGTAATTTCCGGAAGTTCCTCCAGAACTTTCCCACACCCCTCCGGAAGTTTCTCGCACTCATCCGGATCCGGACTTTCCCGCGCTCCTTCGGAAGTCCTACGGACTTCCTTGGACTTCCTCCGGATGTCATCTGAATTAAGGGCACATACTCGGGTAAGGGGCGCAGCGCACGAGCTGAAGCCAAGCCCTTCGGAATCAGTCCAACCCTCGAGCATGTTCTTAACAGGGCCTGAATTTGAGGCTAGTGCACTTTGCATAAAATGACATATGGCATGTTATGGGGGGAGGTCCTTTGAAAGTGGTTGAGTGGTACAGTGTTGGACACCACTACAAGATTCTTCAAATGATTGTTGATTGGAGTTTATGGGGCCCATTATCTGACTATGATCATTGTCATAGTCAGGGTGCTTTGTGACATGAGGAGTGTTATTATGATCCTGGATAGATTATTTGGCAAAAATATCAGCAGGCACCCCCAACACTTTCTCGAAATGAACAGGATTAGAGACTCCAATTGGAGGAGGTGCAGAAATAACAGGGAAGGAGGATATGTTAGTGTGCTCGTCACGGTCTCGGAGGGGCCTCTAGCTTGACTTCCAGACTCAGAAGATATCAACTGGTATCATTGGTGTGTGAGAGTCAGAGTTTCAACAACCATAAGCTGGCAGCCCAACCTAACTATGTCAGCACCACTGCCTGGATCATAAGTTCACACAGAGAAAACATTAGTGACATATTGGGTATTAGCAAAGAACTCCCAGTATGGTATCACTGTACTGTATCTTTGTGTTTCAGATGCCGCAGAAATCATATTGTTCTTATAGTAATATCAGCCACTGATTTCAAGTTAACATGTTCAACATTGTATACTAGTAGGTAATGTTAGATTTGGCCAGAGATCACGCTAGCAATTAACAGTAGGTATAAAATCATGATAATGACCTGGAATGAGGGAAACTTTCAGAATTAAATCATGACGGAGAGACATAGAATTTGATTATGTGGATCTCGAGTGTCATACTAAATGATTCAGATGAATGTATAGTAGGCTTAGAGGCATATAAATGTGTGCATACCAGATGTTTAGCCCACTCCTGGAGGTCTTGGATACATATTGGATAGTGTGGAGCATCTGGCTGTGACACATCTACCCAACAAAATGTATTCTCTGAACCTCCGAGCTGATGCTCAAAGCAACATAATCTTCTCTTCACATTCTCGAGTTCCTTCACATATAGTAGAAGGGATGGATCAGACACAATACCTGCCTGTGATTTTATTTGTGTTCCTTTTGGTACTGATATCTAGTCCCACAAGAAGTTATTGAGCTGTCATGTCACGATTGAGTCAAAAAAGAACTTACAGTATTGATGATTTCAATCACAACTTTCTTCTTTTTCTGTCCAGACACCTGCTCCACCCTCACAGCCTTGAAAGCACTAGTGATGTCCTGGGAAGTCAAAAGGCAATGTGGTGGGTCCATGTGGTGGGCTGTAGACAGGTGCCAACCCAAGTGCTCATATTTATTCAAAAGATTCATTGCGAACCCGCACGCTACCCTACAGCAAGTCAGTGCTCAAGCAATACTTCTATGCCAAGATCAAGCAAGAAGCCACAACCATCATGAGGAAATCCCCACGACACGCCCTTCTCAACTCCATAGACCCATCAGCACCATCTAAGAAATATGAAGGGAAGACAAAGAAACTCCTGAGGCACCACTGCTCCTTATTAGTCCAACTCCACACAGGCCACATCGCACTCAACAAGTATCTCAAACGGATCGGAAAATCACCCACTGCACGGTGCCCCAAATGCGGAGACCACAATGAATCAGTGCACCACTACCTGCTAGTATGCCCAGCCTATGTAGGAATGTGAGAAGCACTATGAGTGGAAGTTGGCCTGTGGCAATGCAACATTAGGTACCTCTTGAGCGAGAAGAAGGGGATGAGAGCCACGCTAACATATATTGCACACACGAGGAGGATGGAGACAATTTTTGGCGATGTGAACCCCCCAGAAGAAGAAGACAAAGGAACGTAGAGAGGAAAGTAGAGAGGAAGGCAAAAACACCATCAACCACCATCAACCCGAGTGCCTGAAGAAGGCCTCCACCATTCCCACGCAAGCCAGAACCATTGCTTAGAGTACACACCACACAAACTCCAGTAGAACGCTGCAACAGTACTATAGCGTATGTAGTGTCCATCATAGGGCTTCACCCCAAATGACAATAACCAAGGATTCAAAAACAAAACAAAAAAACAAAAAATTCATTACGGCCCTCATGGAGTCGAGTATAGCTAGTGGGTGGTCTGACTTGGCGTAAAAATGGTCTACATATGTTGTAGATTTGTTCTTGTCCATGGTATTCAAAGGAATACAAAACTTGACTAGTGAGATGTGAGTATCTCACATAAGTTACTCAAGACGCATCAAAATTACCTTTCTTGAAAGCTTGAGGTTGCTTGGGTCTTTCTTCTGTATAGCTAGCCTGAGCTTCTGATGAATAGCATAACTGAATGGCGTGGATGTGGTTGACCTCTTTATCAGTGACTTTGGGCAGTTCTTTATGGGCACCAAGAAGATATGCTGTAGTTTGAAGATGAGTGCATCAGCAAGTCGATGGGATGGAATCTGTGACATTATTTATATTGCATGAAAGAGTGGGCTGAATCTCCTGATTATCACGGTCATGAGTTCTAGTATAACAGGTGGGGCTCTGAGTGTTGCTGTGCATCATGAACCAATGATACAATCACTGCAGGCATTTTCCTATTTTCCTCCACCAAACATCCAAAAAACATTGATTGAGAAGATAGAAATTTCCCCTCATTTTTCCTGTCAAAACATTGAAAAAAAGTAATTCATGTTTCAATGATGTTCTGTGTGTGGGACATGATGCAAAAATTGATCATGTTCCTTGAAGGATAATGCTGTATTTTCCATCTATTGTCTTTGAAATAACAGCTTAAAATAATGTTGATTTTCTTCTCTGTGTTTTTCAAATATACTATGTTTTTCAAATGTTCTGTGTATATTTGAAAAACACAGAGAAGAAAATCAACATTATTTTAAGCTGTTATTTCAAAGACAATAGATGGAAAATACAGCATTATCCTTCAAGGAACATGATCAATTTTTGCATCATGTCCCACACACAGAACATCATTGAAACATGAATTACTTTTTTTCAATGTTTTGACAGGAAAAATGAGGGGAAATTTCTATCTTCTCAATCAATGTTTTTGGATGTTTGGTGGAGGAAAATGGGAAAAGCCTGCAGTGAATTAGACTTACTTTGCTCTTAGCTACCCAGCCTTTATATCATTTCAGTCTGGCCGTCATGATGCAACTTGCAGAATGAAGAGTGATTGCCTAATAAGACTTAGTAGTAGTAATCTGTCATGGCAATATCTATGCTGTCACGGGGTTGTATGGTACCGTGCCAGACACTGGCAGGAGTTGGCGAGTCATCGACTTTACTGAGCAGGCAACTCTGAGTGACTGGTTCAAGTTTTGTGGGGTATGATAAGATGTTAATGCCTGAGTCAGTGGCAAAAATGTAAAAGACGACGAGTCCCAACTTATTACTACTCATACTGGTCAGTAGAGTCAATACCTTGAAACATTGTGTCACAGTTCAGCATGGGCCATTACCCTAGGTTGCCCAACTAGCGCCAAGTTGCTTTGGGAAGTTTTTGACATTCTAAATAAGGTAAACCAAGTCTTTCCCAACTTCTAGAGGAGGGTTCTGATACTAGCACCTAATTCTTTAGTACCAAATTGACTTGGTTCTTGTTAGTGGTTATATAAGCAATGCGGTGACTTTCAGCTTTGTGCCAAACCTAACAAGTTTAAATGGCTTTGAACAGCTGTTGGAGGTGGATACTGAGTGCTGAGCACACAAAAGATCAGGAGGCAGCAGAAGCTGGTAGGTCAGAATTGATGTAATTGTTGGTACCTAGCTGGCAGATCTGTATTACTTCAAATACCAAATATAAATGACATTGAATATCCAAGGAAAATCAAAGACTTTATTCAGAGGATACATGATGTAAACTGGGACTAAACATGAGATAATCGTCTTGTCATCTTGTCAGTCAAAGTTCTGGAGCCATTAATATTCCTGATAATTAAAGTTGGACAAGGTGAATTCATCACTTCCTAGAAAAGCTAGAGGGACACAATACCCAGTATGTAAATTGATATGATACCGCTTGTACGTAGATTGATCATTGGGTGTGTATAACCGGGCCAGTGAGCACAGAACTGTTACTAAATAATAGTGCTGTAAGTGCGGCCAGCTGCGATGGGCTCATGGCCTCCAGCATCCGCTTATAGCATTCAAGATGAGTACAGTTAGTTCAGGTATAAACACGCTTGCAATATGTCTTTCGTACTGCGTTCTTCTAGTGCCCACTGGCAGAAAGTAGCCATGATTGCAAAAAACAGCTTGACATTGAGATTATCCCTGATATACCAGTGATATTGGTGTTCGCTGTCATGTAACAAGTATGACATTGTCGTGAGGATCGCAGGGTTTGCAAAGGCAATGTTGACGATGACTCCCTCAACCTAAAAAATGCAACTCAATGTATGAGTGAATCATGATCAAGGGTAGTACTGTGGCATGTACAGATATTTGGCTATACAAAAATAGGTCATTCTCTACAAGATGTTGGACTCGCATCGCATGCTCAGCAATATATGAAACATTCAATGTCACAGTGTAGTCGAACCTGAGGTCATACTTGTGGAATACAAATGACCTCACCACCAACTTCACATTGTCAAGTATCTCTATAAGGATGGGCTTGAGCTTCAAGATCTGATCTTTTTTGGCATGATTTAGTGCCCATTGTCAAAGTGATTCTGCTCCCAATCAGTTCCATACTGGTGATTACTTGAAATTTCAGAAACCTTACCATCAGTCAGGGATCTAGTCAGGATGTCCCATGAAGACTTCACCATTCGACATAAAGAATCGGGCGAGGGTAGTAACATTTGGCAAAAGGCATCTACTTTGATTAATTCTTTGCACTTGCACAAAAACCCTGGAATGCCGTATGGGATGAGCCTCAATTCCATTGTCAGCGTGCTTGAGCTTGTGGTTGCAGAGCTTTTGGTTTTGGCGAGTCTGGTGCCCTGGCATGACAAACAAGATGCCCCCCTGGATTCCTGGAGGCGGTGGTGGGAGGAAGTGATGACCAAGTGTTGAGTAACATCATCAGCATGATTAGGTGGATGGGTGAGGGTGGATATGCTGGGTGCGGCCGATGTTGGCTCAGAGTTGATGAGAAAAGATGGGTTGAATTCCACCACATCACTTGCTACTGGACCTGCAGCCAGGATGTGGGGAAACAGATTGAATACCACCCCGTCACCCACTACTGGACCTGCAGCTGAGATGTGGAGAGGCTGCTGCAATGTGTCTAAAAAGCCTATTGTGGTTGGATCGGGAAAACATTTGGGTTTTGGATGGACAAGGTGGTCCCGCCAGTGCAACGGGTGTACAGAAGGCAAAGGATAGTGGATTGAATTTGTGATAGCCATGGTGGCCAGCTCATTCTGATTATGGTCCTGATGCAATTGATGGTGTGACTGATAGCCACCCAGTATGGCAGGGTAGTCACCATCCTGACATTACTGCAAGCCCCATGATGATGATTAATCAGGATAATTTGCGGCCTCGCTTGAAGGACCTGCTGGTACTGCAGTGTGGTCACATTGTGATGATAGTAAAGATGAGGCTGAGACAGGTCAGGCTGTGAGATGAGTCAGGCTGAGGTGGCTGTGGCAACTGATGTTGAGAACTAACCATTTGATAGTCATGTTAATAGTTATCGTAGTTAGGGAAATCAAATGGATGAGAATCAGGAGGGAGTTGTTCAGTCATGTGTTGCTCAGGCTGATAATCACCCTGTGATCAAGGCTGATCGCCCCAACCTGATAACATAGTTGGTAGCGAGTAACAGTGAAAGTAAATTACTCACCTGCAAACTTAAGTAAACAGACTCGAGGGTGCACATGTGAAGCCTAGATTGGATCGATCACAAACTACATAAGGTTCATGTTTAGCTTTGTCAGCTGAGCGTTGATCATCAATTGGTGCTCATCACTTGACATATGGATTCACATCGCCAAGATTAATCTGATTTCCTTTTGAAACCAAGAGGAGTGTTATGATGGATGACTGGGCCAGCCTGAGTAGTAAGTCCTTATTTCATCTCATCACATCTCCAATGTTTCTGAGTCCATGGGTTGAATCAGTTGCAGGAACCTGCCTTTCCTCCCCATCTACGAGACCGCTCCAGCTGCAACCAAGGTGTATAGTTGTTGATGATCATCGTTTCATACTCATTCCATGTATTACTATATTCAAAAACTTGATGCTTCCGACCTCTCAAGCTCACCTTTCTCAGCCCCACCGGTTGTGTCTGGATAATGGTCGCAGGTGGTGGTGCATCTGTCATCTACAGTGATCCCATTGCAGCCATGGCAGCTGCCAGTGGTTTTGCATTTGAACTTGCCAACTATGGTGAATACTTTGGTGCCCCAAGAAAGGGTCAGACTCTCTTTTGATGATGATCTGTACGTACGTATCTCATCACTTCAATCACATCTATCTACTAGTAGTCCTTCAAAGGTATCATCTACATGTCATGTTCTACAAAACCAAGCTCATTGCATGCACTGGCAAAGTCAAGATCTACTAGTACATCCGTCGCTGCAGCAGTCCCAACATCATCTCTCATTGATCTTGATATTAACCCTGAAGGGCTTCCGACAAGACCCGATATGATTACTTCACTGGGTGCGAACAACATTTTCTGGACTACTACCAAGCAAGGCAAGAGTCTCACCACCGATTTGAGACCAATTCATTCAACCTCTTCGCTTTATATTAGGTCATCGACAACACTTATATCAAAACTTGGTCATAACTGGACCACTCAAAAAGGCCAAGATATCACCTGTCATTTCATGTATTTCTAGATCAACAGGAAGCACACTTTCTGGGCTACCATATAAGGCAAGAATTCCACTGCTGATTTCAGACGAAACCATCCAAGCTTACATTAGGTCATTCGGCATAGACGAGTATAAAAAAATCTCACAGAAACTGTCAGTGCTCATTTCCTCATCCTCCTCTGGTATGTCGATGCCTGAGAGTGACTGTGCTGGCAACCTTCCTACTCCTTCTCCTGCTCCTGCTCCTCCAGTGGTATCTCTTTGTGTCTCAACGTCTCCTCAAGCTTGGGTGAAGAGGAAACATCTGAAAGCAGGTTTAACGCTCCTGATTGTAGAAAAACAACCTACTATGTTCCCCAGGGATGAGCACTTCATAGGATGGTTGTTCTTTACACTCCATTAGAAGATCTGGTTGCCAAGAATGACCGGCATTGCGAAGACTTAGACAGTGACCACACAATTGAGTAAGCATCCATGTTCATGGTACCATGTTTATCTTAACAATGAACAGACAAAACCACCTTCAGCACGGCTACATTGAACTCAGTAAGACATTGCCATGGTTCCATGAGAAGCTTGCAAGTCTTGATTTCGAAGAGTCAGAGGATATGCTCAAACAGGTTTCTTACAGTATTTTTGTCACACTTCTGTGCTAATTGGCAATGTAGCTCAAGTGAGGAGCAGATTAAGCTCGTGGTGACAATATGGGAACTCTCAAAGAGCTCATGGCCTCATGGGTTAATATTGAGTGTCGTCCACCTTTGTTTCTAAGAGCAGACAATAAGCACCATTGAGGTTTCATGAACAATGTGTGCGGTAAGCTACTCTGCCCAGCGGAATGGTGCTGGGAAGATCCAGTGTAAGTGATAATCCTCGTCATTCAGATGTTACTGATAATGTTATTCAGTGTCTGGGCCAGAATTCGTGACCGTACCACCACTTTTATTGTTTCTGAAAACTCATGGCCTATGTTCATGTATGAAAATTATGAAGCCAATATGAAGAATCTGGAGCATGGTCTCTTCAAGTCCAAGCTATTAGTCATGGTCAGCGGCCTGATTTTTTTTAACTAAATTTTAGTTCATTGCATTGCATAGCTTCAAAGCCATTTTCACATCTCCCTCCTTGGCCAACAAAGTTGATGGTGATGGCAATGGCATTGATATCATTGAGAATCACCAACGTGCCCAGAGATGATCAGATCACACCAAAGTGAAAACATGTGTTGCCCCCATCATAGGTATGAGGAAGGTAACTCCTTGCACGATCGCATATGCAGCTTGCTAGGTGAGTATCAATGCTTCTCTCTTACTGTGAAGTTGAAATTGAATTATCCAGATCTGATTCGCACTGTCCAACATCACTTCCTGGCGCACTGTTGATGGAGACTTCGATTATCAATTTTTTTGGAACAACATTATAGACTTCTTTGAGGATCCTCCAGGTCCAGCTGTGCTAGTGAGGGTGAACAAGCTTCTTGAATGGTAGACCAGGTAAGTCATCGACCTCATCAGTGACTCGCCTGGATTGCTAACCTCCTGTGTAGAAAAGTGTTCGGACAAAATCATCGTCAGGACTTAACACCGGATGTTATTCTTCACATGTCTGTCAACAGTCTTGCTTCCCAGAGACAGCAAATGGAGGACACCACATTCGACTCTGACTAGTTACTTGACATTTTGCTTGCTTATCTCACTCTACATCTTTAGTTTGATTAACATATCCTCTTTGTCCCGCTGCATTATTTCAGTCCTATGATACACCCTTTGTTACCAATGTCATTATGATTTTAATGCCTCCTGATTTGTATGTGTGATAAACTCAATTTTTGGATATATGTATCGTGTGTGGTATGCGACGAAGCATGAAGCACAACACACTGATACACTATGGCAATTTTAACATGCATGATCAGAATTTGCCAGTTGTGAGACTAGGATTATCCTGTAGCAATGGCACAAGATAGTTATTTGTCCTAACAATGTTGAATTATTTATGAAAAGGTCAATGCTCTGAGATCCGAAAATAACTCCCTAAAGTCCAAACAACTCTGCTGCTTCTTAAACTGTTAATTTAGAATGCTGATGGTCCATTCAACAAAGTATTATCGATAGCACATGGTAAAATAATCCTGAGCTGAGATGCCTGATTGCACAATGCTGACTTTTGTTCATTCCTTGACAATGCCAAACATTCCCATGTGAAAGTGGTCAACAAATTTACACTGATTGTTGCAATGCTCAACAATATATTACTTTAAATACCATTCTCATTTGTTCACCAGTTCACTGATGATGTCGAAGAAGAGGGTGATCTTGTTGAGCCTTGCATCAAGAGAGATGACTTTGGATGTAAGTAGTTATTGCTTGCAACACAGCAGAAACACTAGGACATACCCAGTCAACCATCTCTGCGGCGTCTTCCAGATCCATGAAAGATGTCTTGTACCCTCCGTCTCCTTCTCTCACATATCCTTAAACAATTTCAGGTCCCTGTTGTGATTGAGAGGTTTCAATACATCATTCCATGCCTCATCTATGTTGAGAAGCGGCACCAGCATACATGTTCTTTGGAGTTGTGTCGATCATGTGACATTACAAAAATATCAGTAACCGCTGTAGGAGACCCACTTTCAGTATGTATCCTCAGGCATTGGTGTTAGCCTCTTGAGTACTACACATTGACATCCCAAGGTACTGAAGAACTGCAGTGACCTAAAAAAAAGAGAACAAAGCCTCATCGGGCAACAAAAACTTCAATGCTTATGTAATAAGCCAAGCTCTCACAATTGTTGTAAGTGAGTCTGATTCATTCATGGATGTTATTTCGCGCTCAAGTCTCTTTGGACAGTCACAGTCTTTCCTACACGACCTTCTCTTACTCGAACTTGACACTCTCCAAGGCAGCTGTCTTGAACAGTGAATTCAGCTTGAATGCCACCATCACCATCAGAAACATGGACAAGCTTCTCAAAACTTCTGCTGTGAGCAGCATGAACAGCACAAAAGGTATGTTTTCTCTTTGCGTAATGTCTCACTGACCAGTCACCTGTTAATTTTTCAGACTTGGAACTTCAACATACCTGGCTGCATGTCTCAGTCCCACCATCTTGTGTGTCACTGTCGCCACTCTTAGACCTTGCACAGGTATGTCATTTTTATATCAATGACATTTATGATCCATCTACTGACTACTTCACTACAACTCATCCTTCTCCAGCACCGCAGGTGCTCAAGTCTGCCACGACAACAGTGCCCATTGTGTCCCTTGCCCTCTCAGATCAATATGCAGGACCTGCATCCAGCTCCTTCTGAAGCCACAGTATAAAAATCCAATGGAAAACCATTCTGTAGGCCAATGTCATACCCAGCACTCAGACCAAGCATAAAAAAGTAGTGCACACCTGAAGAGTATTATTAGAATCATACCAGCCAGAATTAATGTCATGCTCTAGAAGACTCTCAAATCCTAGTGTGAACCGGCGGCACAGCTGAGACCATGCAATCTCTGGCATGACATTCTTCTTGCTTCGCATCCAGCGATGCTGGAGGGTGCCATATAAAGATGGGTCATGCCACTGTCGGAGCATCGTATGAGCATTTGCGATCCCATAATTTTCTGATCCTGGATCACTTTGAGTCACCATTGGCATATCTAAAACATGGATCAAATTAGTAGGTACTGTGAGTGATATCACATGAGAAACACTTATGGCCGAGAGCCTCGAGCGTGTCAAGGTAGTAACTCAGGATAAGCTGGAGATTTCAGTTAGAGTGCCAGACTTGGATCCACATGATCCAACCAAAGAAAGGCTCGATGCCAGTGTGCAGCCCAAGACCGAACTTGAGCCATTTGTCATGCTGATCTATTGCAAATAGGTCATTCACCCCTGCAGCCCAGAAGCGTCTCCTTCTGAGTCAACAGGCCTTACGCTGGCGGACAAGTTCTGGCTCATACAGAGCAAAGTATTCCATCACAACCCTCCTAGGATGTGAAACCCAGATGTCAGTGATTCATACAACAGTATGAAGGTAGAGATATCACCTGGCCACACTCATTTCCCTTTTATGAAATAGCAAGCTCACCATTTCACGTACCCCAGCACTCAGATAGGTAATATGCAGGTTGGACACTGTGTCATGAATGGTCTCGATGGTGTGACCCTGTTGACGGGTTCGTTGAAGACCCATGTTTTTCCGAATCTTGAGAAATGAGGTAAGGCTAGCATACAATCACAGAGCATGTGAGGTTGAACATTGATAACTAGATATCTGGAATACTCACCCAATGCCATAGCGGGTTGTGCCAATATGTTTTTGAAGTTCCTGAACAATCTGCCGATTATTCTGACGGGCCTTCCAAAGGCGAAGAATATGAGGTGTGATAACCTCCAGTGGCACTACTCAATAGTTCAGAATGCTGGGAGTCAAGTCAAAATATGGTACAGATGTGTGGGTTTGTTTTGGTTGGGCATCGCAACATGCACTCAACAGCTTCAATGTCAGTCTATATGTAGTGTCAAACACATTTTGGACTTACGTAGTTTGGAAGTTCATGCACAGGGTAATGGTCCAAGTCTGCCTCACATTTCCCAAGTCAAGTGCAGGCTGTGCAGCAACTACCTCACAGAAAACTTGGAGGTGCACCACTCAGAATTCTCCAGAAGCCTCATCTGGTGTCATAATTCTCTATCTAGTGACTATACCTTTTCTGGCCGAACTTAGAACTCTCAAGAGCTCAGAATTCTCCAGAAGCCTTGTATGACATCATGATTCTCTATCTATACCTTTTATCAAGAGCCTTGTTCAGTATGTACCTCACTTAAGCTTCATGTAGGGATACTCTCAACTCACATTTAGCAGGTCAAGTAACTCCAAGGAGGCTTTCAAGCAACCACAGGCTGCATGGTTGCAGCAAACCACATGGTTGCATGTCACCACAGTTACTACTGGCTGAACTTAGAACTCTCAGGAGCCTCATGTCATGAGTACCCAATATGAACCACTATTCTTTCCTAAATTCTAAGCCCTTTAAGTGCCCTGTCACAGTGTCTACTTCAAAGAACGTATTCTGTGTGTTCAGGTATTCGAGCACCCAGTGCAGAGTTCAATGCTCAGTGCCACACAACACCGTGTCCTTCCTGACCCGTGTACCATCCAACAGGCTGTAAATGCAGCACAGAGAAAGTGTAAGCAGAACATGCATCAGTACCATTCCTGAGCTGATGACAGCAACACTTAACCCTCCTGCTGTAGTGGCTGTACCTCACCTTTCACAGGTGTCTCACACCATAGGGCCAGAGATTATGATACCTATGTCATGGCAAGGTTCATCTATGACACTGTTAAGTTTCGCTGGCCCCATTGTGATACCCCCATCAAATTTTGCAGGCTCTATCAGGTATTCATTACATCATGCAGCTTATGCTACAGAATGCAAACACTTGGGGAAAATTGTATATGCTGCTTCTCTCACTGAGACTATTTTACTCAAGATCACTGCAGTCTATGAAGGTGCCGGAGCTTGCAAAAAATGCGGAGTTGTTATTGGGGTATGTGATCACCATTGTCTTAAGTATGGCAGCTTGCTCACACTCCTGTTTAGAACATATGTGAGGGGAAGAAGGGCATCGACACTCAAATTGATGCCCCTGGACTTATCAAGCTAGCATTGGAGACCGTTGTGTGCGAGGAATGATAGCTAGATGAGAAGGGGTAAAAGGGGGAGAAAGGGTGAAGTGTGGTATAACTCAAATAGACCTCTGGATGCAAGTATAGATTCGGCCCAAGGGGATTGCTACTCAAAACGATTCCCCTAAGTAAAATGTGAGGGGAAACTTTAAAACTAATAAGAGTAACTGAGAATGGAAGGAGCACGAGAACTTGCGCTGATGCGATGCAAGCGCAAGTGAGCCACCGAAAGCATGATACAATGCACGGCCGTGTGGCCAAAGGTTTGATGAAGCACAAAAGTGTGCGGCCGAACCAAAGGATAAATATGAAGATCCGTGAACATGAAAGCAATGCGACGCAGCGATGAAACGGGAAGAGAGTTTGACGATAGATGCAGTGAGTGAAATGCAAATGTTAATGCGGCTGTTAGAGATGCACACATGGTAGTGTGCTGAAGATTGAGATTTTCAGTTTGAGTGTTGCATGAAAACTGATGATAATTGCAATGTGGGAAAAAGAAGATACATGAGAATTGTAAGTACTTAGTATATATGAGAGCGCACAAAGTGCTCTTTAGAGCTGAGTAGGTAGCGGTAGTATGTAAAAAGGGTCCATAATGCAAGTAATGAGAATGTAAATATGATAGCTTTGGAAATACGATCAGTCTAATGCAAATCAAGTTAAATACACACCAATGGACAAGTGGAGGACATGGATAGGATGGGGGAAGGATGTGCAATGGAACCAAAGAAAAGCAGATGCAAGCCGATGCGCTGTAGAGACTCGTGCCTCTCACTGTGCAATATTGCAGTTTTCACTAGGGAGTACATGGCACGAACTTGTAGCATCACTCTGTATGCTATCCACAGCTATTCCTACATAAGGCGCAGCTTTCCCGCGCAACGCGCAACTCGCGCGCGTACCTTTCCCATGCTTCACGATGTATATGCATGCGCACTTTCCCACGCTTGAGCGCCCTATAGTGCCAGCCATCCGGAAGCATCCATCCACTGTCCACCAAGTTCCCTAGTGCATATATTTCCATTTCTCACATTTGCATATTGTTCCATCTTTATTTTTATCATGGACCCTTACTTACATATATCCTTACATACCTTACTCGGTAGTGCTTCAGCTCTGCATGACAGCGCTTAGGCGCCATACTTAAGCGCCAGCAGTACATACTATTACTGACTTACTCACCCACCACGAACGAGAGAGGACTGAACCAGAACAATACCCATTTACTACCCAGCAGAGCATAGTTGAAATCTATTCCTTGGCACCTCGCATATAACATCTCTCAGCTTGCATCTCTCACCTCTTGTCTAGTGTCTAATCATCACTTAAGCAAACTCACTCATACTCTCTCTTATTTCCGCATACACGCACGCGCATTCCCACGCCTCGCGCGCACCTGCACTTTCCCGCGCTTTGCATTTGCCAACCAGTAGCGCCTTCAGTGCCTACTACTAGATCCTTGCTGCACTCGCTTCCCCTTTAGGGTTGAATGCACTTGTCGTCTCAAGTATAGCAGACTAGGCGATGCGCGACCTTACAGCATTTATAGATACAGTCAGGAGCATTGTTTGTGCTTCGCTGTATCATTGAACCTTCAGCGCGCGCATGAGCCACAGCCATCAGCCGATAGCAGATATGATGTGTGCTGCGTTAGCGATAGCATGCACAATGCGAGAACCTAAGGGACACTGCAAAAATAGCCTCTACAAGGCTACAAGGACTCCAAGTCCTACACTGTTGTCCCAAAGTTACACACATTCAGTGGCGGATTTATCTGGTGACTTCATGAGTTCGTAGTACGAGATGCTGGATGGGTGGATCTATCCAGTCACCCGCTGTTTGTTCCTTATTTTTATGATCAATGCCAGCACCCATCTTGCAAAGGCACTAAGTCTAGTTTCAAGCCTAAACAATTTGTGCTCATGGTTGTCATCCCAGAGGTTCAGTGGATTGAATATGAGAATTGGCTCACAGCTGCTGAAATAGTAAGAGTCTATTCAGACAGCAAAATTTTGCAATTTCCACTTGAAATTTCATTACAGTACAAACAATTCCAAATAGTTAGAGATGTCACACTGATAACGGGTATTACTGGCAGTATCAATCTTGTATTATGCTACCATTCATCATTGCAACCAGCATCCAGCAGAAATTAGAATGCACCCTGACCCTAATCAAGACCCTCCAGATGTGGATGATGCTGAAAGGTCTGATTCTGCCAATGATGGGATGTTAGTACCTATGAATGTGGAGGAAGATAGTGACAATGAATTGGACATTCTTGAGGGGATGTTTTATCATGCTACTCGTGCAGTCTCTATAATTGCCATTGATGCAGCTAATTAGGCATACAAAGTTTATTCAAAGGCCTACCCTGAGAAGACACCATATCACACTTCGGCACTATCAGGAATAGCATGGGCCAAAGAACTTCTCGCCAGTCATCCAGACCGCATACGTTGTGAACTTGGTGTACGCCAACACGTTTTCTATGTCCTCCTAAATCTACTTCACACTGTGGGATGTCGGTACTCAAAACATGTCACCCTTGAGGAGCAATTAGCTATCTTTCTTTATGGATGTGTTACTGTTCTTTCTGTCCACCACCTCAGTGAGCACTTTCAACGCTCTGACGATACAATATCAAAGTATGTTGTTTCTATCATACCATGCTTGTTTAGTGATACATTTCAAAGGTACTTTAAATGCATTCTCATTGCATTCTCGTGCCCCCCCATCTACACAACATATGTCCGGCTACCTGATGCAACAAGTCCAATACCTCCTGAAGTCTCCCAAAATCCAAAGTTTTACCCCTACTTTGCTGATGCCATTGGTGCTATTGACAGCACCCACATCACCTGTCACCCATCAGCTGAACAGCGTCATGGCACTCGCAATCACAAAGGCACCTTGACACAAAATTGTCTTGTGGCCTGCTCGTTTGATATGTTCTTCCTCTACATGCTGAGTGGTTGGGAGGGGTCAGCAGCAGATGCATGTGTCTATCATGCTGCTTGCATCACAGATCTCAGAATCCCTGCTGGCAAATACTACCTTGCCGATGCTGGATTTGCGTCATGTAATGAGCTTCTTGTCCCATATCGTGGAGTGCACTACCATTTGGCTGAATGGGGTTGGGCAAATCTAGTGTATGTCATGCTAACAATTATCTGATGTCTACTGTGTGCTACCTTTGTTTTATAGGCCCTGTAACCATAAGGAACTCTTCAACTTATGACATGCCATGCTTCGCAATGTCATCAAGCGTATTTTCGGTGTAATTAAAAACCACTTCAATATTCTCCTTCTTCTGCCCAACTACACAATGGATGTGCAGACCCGGATCCCTCCAGCATTGTGCTTTGTGCACAATGTTATTCGCGTCCATGATCCAAATGACCTGGAAGACCATCGGGATCTCGACCTCGATCCAGGAGCCTATGATGCCGGTGTACTTGCTGAAGGTCCTCCCAGTGAAGGAGCACATGTTCACACACAAACACGTTGTGATACAATTGTGCATCAAATGTGGGTGGATTATAATGTAGAAAGAGAGCGCAGAGGGTTGCCGGTCATAGAAGAAGTGTTTGAGCAGTCCAGTACTCAGTATTTTCAAGTCACTCAATTTTTGTTCTGGTACTGCACAGTCTGCTAAATACTAGTACATTGGCATGTTTGAAAGAGACATTGTGCAAAAATTTCATGCTACTGACTAATTGAAGTATTGTGATAAGTACAACCTGCGGAGCTCGTCCTTCTGGATGGAAAGGTACATATCAGCTATCGCAACATCAGCTTGAATGTGCATCATAACTGCTACCATCTGCACGTCAGTCAAACTCTCCTCCTGCTGCACACACACAACTGCCCTTTGTTTGCATACTGGGACAGGATCTACTGAGTGTGCAACATCATGTGACATATGTTCGTGCATATGTGACATGTGTTCTTGTATTGCACTCGTTGCATTATCGAAGGACAACCTAGGACCATGAATCTCATCACTCATGTAGTCAAAGGTGTCTGAGATGCCGTGGCACTGTGATTTCACTGATTTTGATGTTGATGTGCTGCTGAAAACCATCTTGGTGGAGTTAGGAGGGCGGCCCATGGCCCGTGAGTCATCATCGTCAGCTATGGCCCTGTGTTTTCCCAGTGTCTTCGATGAACTTAATGTGGAGGAGGCGGCAGAAGCCTCTGGAAGCCTACTATTTCCAGTAAATAGCATTGGTTGTTCTGAAGGAATGAATCTGATTGGAGAGGGCGGTTCATCTGGCACTGGTGGGACATGAGGGTTTGGATGCTTGATAGCATCAAGCACTTTCTCTGATTCCTGACAGGCTTCAAGTCAGTTCAAGCATGAAGGTAACAAGAACCGGCACTCACAAAGTTTGGCACAACAGTAGTACCAGTCATGGTGGTACTGCAGCTGCAGTCTTTGGCTGGCACTACGGGCCAAGCGGTAGCATGGTGAGCAACATCCCCCCTTCCCTTTGACGGCAAAAGTTCCTTCACCACATCGTAGTGCGGCCATCCCTTATTCTTGAATTGTTTTGCTTGAGGCATACTCTAGACTCAGTAATTAGTTATTGTAGTTGGCATGATGACATCAACATACCTTCACAAGTTCTGTCCAGACAGACTCAGATGCATCAGTGATGTTGGCCCCAAGCTCTGGCCTGAACTCCAAGCCAGAATAATTGGCCAATCTATCAATGATGTTGAAGGTTGAATGGATCTGAAGGCACATCAGTAAGTACAGGCTGATCATCAGACGTAACCTAAGAACTTACTCGAGACCATTTTGACTGGCATGCTTCAGAAGTCTTCAGGGAGCCTTGGGCAGTCATCGTGGCAGCAACAGTAGCCCAAAATGTCTTGTCAAAATTGAGCCCATCTCCACCCTTGGCACGGTGCGTGGTGATGTATTGAATTAGCCATGTTTCATTGTCCAAAGTCCAGAAACATTGTTCTCTCATGTCAGGCATGGTTTCCTGATCCTTCTTGCCATGCATTGTATAGCAGAAAGGTATGTTATGAGAGCAGAAAGAACGAGTTCGTTGAGTGACTGGCATGTGTTACAGGGATCTGTAACACCTACTAGAGCCCCAGCTCTCCCTACGCCTGCCCCCGCTCTGCTAGACTCCCCGCGCGGCTGTGCGCCGCCCGTACCTAGAAAGACAGCGGTCTGGACCGCTATGACCCCGCCTGGCGCTATGACCCCGCCCCTGGCCTAGACGGCCTTGTACCTGATCCATGAAGGCTGTACGCCTCATGGACACCCTAGATCAGCGCATGAATACCACATGTCGCTTCATGAAGATCCGGAGCGCGCTTGGCGCTTCCTGTACCTATGCGCAGCTGCCCTTGGCGCAGCATGCTTGATCAGAGGTTAAGCCTCATGTATCTTATCTGAACCTCGTGTCTGGCTATCATAGATTTACGATATACTATTGATTACAGACTGAGCTAGAATACTTGTAGTACTTCCCTATAAGTAGACACAGATTATTGTACTTAGACTTTACTTTAATCTACTAGGTTCATCCCCAGAACTTGCTCATCTAAGCCTACCAGCTTCCTTGTGTGAGACCGCACTTCTAAGTCGCCCCCTTACGACTTAGCACGTATCCGCTAGCCCTGCATCTCGACGAGCGCCGTCTTACCGAGATCGCCGGAGGAATCCTTGACGTTCCGTCAAGGCCAGACCACGCTCAGCTTCAGTAGACTCACTCGAGTCGTCGCTGAGAAGACCTATCCTAGTTCGCACACGCCGACCGACGGTCAGCGTAACAGCATGATGGTATACTGATAAAATTCGTCACATCTATCACACTGATTCAGGATATTCAGGACAATTATAATCAAATTCCATCTTCAAAATTTCTCAGAATTTTGCTGTCCGAACAGACTCTAAGCATCTAATTGCACGTTGTCTGCTTACCAGCCTAACTATCATTTTACTGTCCAGGAGTCCAGCAAATGTGCTCCCAGGCCTCACGAAGCTGCAAATGTTCCCTCTTCATCCTCACTTGAACATGATGCCGACAATTTTGTAACTGTCTCCACCCGGGAGACCCACCAGCACACTGACAGCTCTTTGAACTCTGTCATGTCCTCACTCAAGCATGATGCTACAACTGTATCCACCAAGAGTTCCCATCAGCATGCTGACAGCTCTAGTGCTGTCAGTGGTGTTTCATCTCCCCCTCAAAAGAAGAATGTACCTCCTTGGGCTAGAGCTCTTTGCTCGCCTGATCATGATCGGCTGAAAGAAGTCTTGAAGATTGGCAGAGGTGCCAACCTAGATGTAAAATAAGGTAGATTCATCAATTTCTTATGTTAATAGCAAACACTTATTTGAATCAGTCTTTGGCCCACAGAATGAAAACATTCAATTTCACCTCATTCTGACCTGTCCCATTACCAACCTGTTAGATGAACAGTACCAATTGTTTTCTGTAGACACAGCTGAGTTATCTGTCAGTCAGTTGACTATCGATATGTTAACTCAAGGCTTAATCGGAGTCGGAGGCTTCAAAACTGCTCACACTGGATGGCTCACACTAACGGCCCCTCCTAAGACTGGTCTTGGATCGGTCGCTCATCATAAAGTTGTGGTCAAACGACCATTCCATAAAGTATTTCCAACAGCTGCAAATTTCGGGCCATATAAAATTGGCCAATACTCACTCGCTGATGAGCTTCCCAAGCTATTCAGAAAAGCCAATGTCTTATACTGGGCTAAATCTTTATTGATGCTCACATATGACTTCATTGATCATTCCATTGCATCTTCATCTGAACCTCCACCATTCACGGTTCCATGTGTTCACTTTGTGGAGGCTGGTCTTGCATTGTGCTACCATCAAGGTGCTAGCAGGGCTGGAACAAAGACAGGGTCAATGCATGCTGCCTTCCTCCTTGAAGAACTCATCAAGGATGGTGATGAGTTCTTTCTCAAATTTATTCACAACATGGACGCCAACCCTCTGCTCGACGAGTTGGACTATGGCTATGACTTTGCAGAGTTTTTTGTTTTCATGCAGCATGTGCAATATGTCAAGACTAGACAATTAGCATTCATATCCGACTATCAAGGTATGTCTGATTCATGACTTTACTCCACTTGATTGACATGATGTTCAGGGAGTACAGCACTGTTAACAGACCCTCAGATTCTGACCCACCTGTACATATTTTTCATTCATTTCAATGACAGAGACTCAACTCAATATATTTCAATAGGTCTGTTGGCGACAGGAGTGATATTTTTGGCGATGGGAATATTGAGGCAGTTGTCAGTGAGTTTGAAAGTAAGCATGTCTGCAATGGATACTGCAAATGGGCGGGGTTTGGGCTCAAACCATTTGGGAAGGAAGTGGAAAGCCTTGATGAAGCAGAGAGCACATGGAACGAGGTGGAGAGCACGAACATAGCTTAGATTGATTCAGTGAAATGTACAACGGACTACTGTGAAAGAGATCTTCTTGCACTCAGTTTGTATGTAATTAAATGTATTTGAAATCTTGCTTTGATCCCATTCGAGGTGTATGGTGTCCCGGTCTTGTGACTGCCTTATTTGGGTCATGTCACAGTGAGTAACGGAGTGTGCACACGTCCAGCTTTCCATAAGTATGAAATGATAATAAACTATTCCTGATACTCAAGTTGGGACCAGGCAGTGAATTAAGAAAAATAACTGAAAAAAAGGCCACTCATTTTTGACAAGAAGTGAAAAGACGTGAAAACCATCAAAAAGTCCAAAAAGTCGTGATTAAATAAGTCAATATTTTACTGATGCACTGGAACTGTAGAGTCTGCCACTGGCTGCACAAGAACACAAATTTTGTGCTTCCTGTGGGAAAAGTCGTAGTTTACTGATGTACCCTTCCTATACACTTTTGTCATGCTTTATCATGTGACATTTGCTGAAACAGTGCAAAGTCTACCTTACGAAAAAAACAGCAATCGTAGTGGCCCCATTCTATCACCAAATCTAGATAACTCGCCTCACATTCTAAACTTGAGTGGCGATGCCACAGGTCACTCCATATTTTTCGAGGCAAAATTGCAAACAGCTACCCAAAGGACCATCAATGTTTTACATGACGCTATACAAACTGCGATGTCACAACAAAACACACTACTGCCGTAGCAGGAATAGACTTATCTGGTAGTGCTATGGACATATGTTCTTGGGATGGTATCGAGAACTCGACCTGATACAACATACCACACGAGACGAAATGGCTGATAATGCTTCGCCAATCGCTTCCATAGTTCAACTGGCTTCCATGTTATAATGCAATTTTGCCAATTACATTGGGGAGACGTACCATACTGGCTGAAAGTGACAGCAAAAGGCAATGGGTGGCTCTGTGAAAAAGAATTACTAAGCATCGCAATCACGAAAAAATATGGCCCACCTCGACAAAAACATCTACGCCATTTCCGCTATTAGTTGGTTCCACTCTCATATAAATTCCACCTAAAGTATTTTCTTCAGCGAATACACCGACTGGTCCCACGTTACTAACCAGGTAATCGCTGTGGATCTTTAACTCTAAGCATTAATGCAAAGAGTGGAAAATAATTCATAAACGCAAGCGCCGTCTCCAAACTCGCATACACTAGAATAGTCGAGACGCGCATCTTGTCGTACATAAGTCAGCTCACATACTCCACCAACACCAATGCTAAGACTCACGGTAGCGAATAAAATATAGTACACCAGAACGGTGGGAAAGAGATAAGCAATCAGTGTGAAGAGAATAGTCCCCAAAAGTAGCTGGTCGACATCATAGTCCCAAGGATCCGTCCGATTCCTTAGCACGTTATGTCGTCGTCCTTGAATCGTGTTATTACTAGTTCTCATTATCGAACCGCGGAAAATCACACCTCGAAAAAGATTCCAAAGCGATGCCGCCAAGCGTAACAAATGACCATACACAGTCACCGAGACCAAATAGCACAATTGTACATGTGCCATAAAGACGCAGACAAGATCGCACACCATGGCAAGCGCCATCGTCACCCCAAACGCACTTCCCAGCTCCAACGCACCCAATAACATGGGAATGAGTGGTATGACGGTTCGGAAACCTCCTGTGTGTCAATGAGGGTTGACAGAATATCGTGCAGGTACAGACGTCAGTACGCACTGTTCCAAAGCGCAATCAGCCCCATAAAGCTGTGCGAATAGAATCGGCTGAGTTCGGTGTTCAGCTTGAGGCCTGCAGGCCAACTGTCGAGCCACAGAAGGATCTGTCGTATTTCATGTACGGCCTTGTCCTGCGTATTTATGTCAGAAAGAGTATGGAGCGATACTCGACAATTCAAACCTCAAAGACAAGCTTGAAAAGGTGCAGGAAAGCCTGACGGTCCTGCCGTAAAATTTGACGAAGCGCAATCCCAATGATAAGATCATTCAAAATGATCCAGAGGGTGTTATAAAACCTTTGAAAAATTTTGAGTATGTCACTCAAAAAGGAACGAAAAGGGACGCAGACTCGATGTACTGAGAGGACTTGAGTCTCATGTCCCCGTTTGGAACAGGTTGCACCCCTCGAAGTAAGCGACGCAACTTCCTCGCCCTAGATTCAATCTGTTGGACTTGGTGCAAGCTGGATATTAGATCCCGGTACATAACACAATGCATACCTGCGATGCTAAATTCTCTTGAGTAGACGAAGACAAAGGATGTGACACGCCAGAAAAGATTCGTCGAACTTTCGATTGCGTCGATTGTACAATAAAATTTCTCATAGATGGCTGTAAACTTTGAGGTCTCTTTAAAACGAGCGCTGTGCTCTTGGATGTCGATAGTCTGACCACGCTGCTCGTGCTCTATGAACTGCTCGAGAAATTTTGCAGAGTTCCACTACAGCAGTCAAGCTCGGACCCAGGTAATTATTGGAACACATACTTGATTGACGAGGATCTGCCATGTATTCGACGCGCTTCGCAGTGATGTGGTATGCGAAAAATCGTGTTTCAAGCTCCAACGCAAGACCTCATCCTGAAGCTCGAAAAGGCGTGTTCCATCCGAGTCCAAGGCATAAAACCGCAAAGAATTTGCATCATGACGATGGTAGTATATGTATGTAGTAGAGTGTGCCCTAACATCAAAGTCAGTTGTATATCGGATATGCGAGGAGTATCCGACCGTGAGGAACCGCAGAGCATGTCGACATCCGGTTGGGGGTATGATGACCTCGCGAATGGACTGAGTACACAACGTCCGAGAACCCGTGGAGCCCCACAAATTTCAATCAGGGCTTGTGTTTCTGCGGAACGAGCGACACGCTGGAGTAGAGCTTCTGCATGTGAGTCCTGTACGCGGGCTATCAATCAATGGCAAATATTGTGTGACCATCCGACGTACCTCCTCGGCTTCTAGCACACCTGCTATACACAATGCAGGATGATCCCACCCATAGCAGAACCCGCTTCTTGCGACATCGCATGGCCAGAAAATAGATGACATGCCCTACCTTGTTATGCAACTGGCTGTATATACTAGTATATACATCATCACCACGTGACCAGTACATTCAACGCGTTTGGAATTGTCCGCTGTGCACGAGTACGAGTTGCAGACTTCCTGAAGACTTACTCTATCTGTTCCAGCTCGCTGTCTATCCCGTCGCTCGTCTCTTCATATATTTCTCACCCAAACTATAATTCTAACTGGTGCCAATGGACTCAAGAAGACCCGACATGAAGAAGAAGCTGGTGGTGGTTGGAGATGGTGCGCGGACCCTTGCCCTTGTCTCTTCAGTGTCCGTGCCCGCGCTCAATCCACTACACTCAAGGCGGATGCGGGAAAACTTGTCTCCTCATCGTATATGCAGAGAATAGATTCCCCGAGGTACGCATGAGTTACGTCTTATCATTCATATATATGTACTCATTCACATTTCCGAACTCAAATTTACGCATGACTGCAGTCTTACATACCCACTGTGTTCGAAAACTACGTCACGCAAATCCAATTCGACGGCAAACTGGTAGAGTTAGCACTTTGGGACACCGCAGGGCAGGAAGAATACGACCGACTACGACCACTATCCTATCCAGAATCCGACGTCATCCTTATCGTATTCTCTATCGATTTTCCCGTCTCCCTAGGAAACGTGCAAGATAAGGTATGTTGTTGAGCAGCGTGTCAAACCCAGTTGTGTTGACCAACATCCCAGTGGTACCCTGAAGTTGCCCACTTTTGCGAAGGAACACCTCTTATCCTCGTTGGAACCAAGACTGACCTGCGGCGGGACGAACAAACACGACGGATGCTTGGCGCACAAGGTCAGGTGCCAGTGACACCCGAGCAAGGTGGGATGGTGGCGCGGGAAATCGGTGCCAAGTACGTTGAGTGCTCAGCAAAGACGGGAAGCGGCGTGCAAGACGTGTTCAACCTTGCATTGCGAGAAAGCATGAAGGGAAGATGGGGGAAGATGGTGAAGCAGCGACGGTGTGTGATTGTGTAAGGGAGCGGTTGCCGGTTGTGTTCACGCGTTTTATTGAATGGTATGGGTACGAGACTGATATTTTGCTTGCCTTTCTCTATACTCTGTGCTAAAAGGAGCTATTGCATCTTGAGGTGCACATAATAGAGGGTTTTGGAGATTGTCCAACAGTGCTGGACAACGTAGACGAAGGCAAGGAGGGTCACAGTCACGGTACATAACTCGATATAGAGGGTGTGATTGATGTTGCCGACAGGAATGTCAAATGAGAGAAATGATGAAGTTGTGTGCTGAAAGATTTCGAACTGAGCAGATGAATTAAGCAAGTGAAATTTGGGAGACTGTGATGGGAGTGTGCTGTGGAGTGATTTGTCTTGAAAAGAAATCATGAGGATACGGGCAAGAAGAGAGAGCTTGAAGCGCACATGAGGAAGGACAAGCCCAAAAACAAGTTGGAGGGGGTAGCTGGATAATGTGACGAGGGTCATGACCCTCCTGCGGCACACCGTATCTAACATGGAGAGGCACATCCACCACGATCAAGTCTGCCTCCGGCTTAACGGCGACCAACAGCCAGCCTGATTCATTCGCTACCCCGGACATGGGTAGCTCCAGATTCGTATTCCCCACAAACTGGAAGGAGAGTCCATGGTCATTGAGCTCAAACGAGTCAATGATAATATCGGCTGGAAGTTCATGGAGGACAAATAAGTTGCATGCTGCATATTCATGTCGTGCATGTAGAGGAATACTAGTTGAGAGCGTTGAATGGAAACCTTTTACTTGCATGGTCGTAGATGGTCGACGATTCGACGTACGCGTGGAGCACGTGTTCGAGAATCGAGATCATATCATCAGAATCAATCAAGTAATCACTTAAGCTTACTTTCAAGTTTTCAGCAACCCATCTGCATCATGAATCGTCCAAGCGAAGATCACAACAGAGTTCATTTTCCTATTCTCTCCTCAGAGCTCACCGCAGCCCTCGGTGCCATCGAAGACATGGCAGACGATACGGATGCTGTCCTAGATAGTGTTGTTCGCGGCAGTCCGCCTGTCATATTCCGTGCTGGTGGGCCAATGTTAGTCCTCAGATCATTGTCTGTCTGTCACCTTGAAATTATGAATTAACGATTGGGCACCCCGCACACTGCGCACAGGCTCAAACAATTCGACGAGTCCACCGCCTCCAGTCGGAAAGGCTCTCAGGCTCCGACTCCCCCGCGCTCCGTCGTTGGTATCGGGAACAAAGGTTCGTCTCACCTCATCCCTATCGTTTCTCACTCATTTATCATTCTACCATGCAAGTCGCCAAACCAGACTACTCCGAAGCAAAGATCGTCCTTGCAATGGTGGGATTGCCCGCCCGTGGCAAATCCTACCTCAGCAACAAGCTCATGCGTTATCTCAAGGTTTGTCTTTGCCCCTGCCGTTGGATTTCACTTACCCCCCCAACAGTGGCTAGAGTACGACGTACAGGTCTGCTGCCCTAGTCCTCGGGCCAATCTGGTACTTATCGTCGGTTAGGTCTTCAATGTTGGTCAGCTTCGCCGCTCGCGCGCGCACCACAAAGCCCAGCAGTACGTAGTATTTCGTCGTGCATTATATATACTGCACCTCTTGCAGAAGTGGAATTCTCGAAGATCACACTTCTAACTACTTCAGCCACAACAACGTAGAAGCCACTAAGCTTCGCGAGCAACTCGCAGAAGATAGTCTCGAGATGCTCATTCGATGGCTGAAAAGGGGCGGCAACGTCGCCATACACGGTACATTTTCACTTTCTGCCCCAGTCATGTCATTTACACCCCCCAGACGCAACCAATAGTACCCGTATGAGACGGTACGCCCACCATTCCATGTGGTCATCTAGCAGTAATAGTTAATTCCACCTCACTCAGTGCCAAAATCTCCGCCCGCGTTGCCAAAGAAAAGGGCATGTCCGTCATATTCCTCGAGTCCATATGCAACGATCCTGCTGTCATCGCTGCCAACGTTGCCCTTAAGGTCTCCTCCGGCGATCCGGACTATAAGGACCTTCCCCGTGAAGTGGCCGAACGTGACTTCCTTCGCCGCATCAAGGAGTATGAGGCCGTCTACGAGACTATCACCGAACCCCACCTTAGTTATCTGCGAATCACGGATATTGGCAATGAAGTCACGCTCAGCAGAATCAATGGTTACTTGCAAAGCCGCATTGCCTTTTATTTGATGAATTTGCATGTGAAGCCACGCAATATATTTCTTTCCAGAGTGCGTCTTCTTTGAAAATTTCGAAACTCGGACTCAAGTCTTATTATAGCACGGCGAGAGCCAGTATAACGTCGAAGGCCGGATTGGCGGGGACTCACTGCTTTCAGAACGCGGCCTGGCATACGCTCACGCGCTTCCTGAGCTTGTACGAAACAACATTGGGGATGCACCACTTATTGTACCTGTCTACTTCTAGTCATGTACAGAACCTCATCTCAAACGTACAGGTCTGGACTTCGACACTTCAACGCACAATTCAAACCGCTGCGGAACTTCCCTACCCCAAACTTACTTGGAAATCTCTTGATGAACTCGACGCTGGCGTCTGCGACGGTATGACATATGAGGAGATTGAGGTGCATGCTGTTTTATGACAATGCTTCTTACTTGAGATCCTTAATCCAAAATTTCTCTCGCGCTTCAGCAAGCATACCCCGAAGATTTCGCCAACCGTGACGAAGACAAATTCAACTATCGTTACCGAGGCGGCGAGTCTTACCGAGATGTTGTCGTGCGCCTCGAGCCTGTCATCATGGAACTTGAGCGGCAGGAAAACATATTGATCTTTGGACATCAAGTACGTGTGGATTCCTGTGCTCAAAATAGTCTTTCTTTTGTTCAGATCCACACCCTGATTCTGTTATGTCCACTTCATAGCAAGAATTTATACTGATCATCATGGCAGGCAATCATTCGTTGCCTCTACGCGTACTTTCACGATCTTCCACAAGCTGATCTGCCTTACATCAATGTACCGTTACACACCGTCATCAAGCTCACTCCGAAGGCATATGGTTGTGACGAGGAACGGTGAGTTTTTCTTGAATTTTCCTTTCACCTTTCCATCACTCTAATTTCTCTTAACTCACAAACTATAGGTACACCCTCCCCATCGGTGCCGTGGACACACACCGCCCCAAACCAGGGTCCACTATTTCACCACCCGACGTAGTACCATTATCGACGTCGAAGAGGGAATATTTTGGGACCAAAATATAGCGTTTGGTAAGTAGTCGGGCAGTTACTCCTAGTGTTGATTACCTGTCGGCGTGTCGCGAGTGCTCACAAGGAAGCTAGAGACAGCTATTGATGGAAGATTCTGAAAATATGTATTTTATATGAGAACAAATAGATACTTGGCTATTCTACGCAAAATGTGGGAATCATGGTGATCACTTTGAAGTTTCTGCCTCCTGAGTGTTGGCACTGAAAGTCACGTTTTTGTCACTCATTCACCTGTCATCGGTGCATCGTTTAACTTGTAAGTTGTAACTCACCAACTGATTATTACGCCTGACATGGAATCATCACCCAAACGACGTCGCATCTCACGCTCTCCGTCACCGACGTACACATTCGATGACGACGACGATTATGTGCCCTACGTTCCTGTCGCTCAACGACGAGAAGCTAAATTGGCGAAACTTTCTTCATTAAGCACCGTTTCTGACAGGACAAAGGCAAAGAAGCAACTAGAGGAACTATTAGAGCGTGAAGATGCAGAGAGGGAAGAGGAACGCCAGCGCGAGAAGACACGGAAGGAGAGGCCTTTGCTCATGGAAGCACAGGAAGTGCACGAGCGCAAAGCTGCAGAGAGTGCGTGCCTTACTGAGTTGCGAGCTGTGTATATGCTAATATTGTCATAGATGCAAAGAAGACTGAAGTAGAAAAAGAAGAAGAGGCAGATGCAGAGATACTTGCTGCCATAGCAAGTCGCAGGAAACTCGCATCTGATCTAGAGCTTGCGAAAGGCATATCTTACACAGACTCCCTCAAAACATCGTGAGATTCGTGCAACGAATGGGAAGTTGACCGTGTTCTGACTTATGCTACAGGTGGCAGCCGCCAAAATATATTCGAGAACGCACAGATGAGCAACATCGACGACTGCGAGAGAAATACCACATTATTGTGGATGGAGAAGACATACCTCCTCCTATTGAGCACTTTTCGGTACTTATATAATGGACGACTCTATCAGCGCTGGATTGACTGTTTCGTAGGACATGAAGATACCAGAATCGATGCTGCAATTTCTAAAGTCCAAGAAGATCACTACTCCGACACCTATCCAATTACAAGGGATACCCACTGCGTACGACCTCCCGTACTCTTTCATTAACTTCCTCTGACCAAACTCGTAGATTTGCTGGCCGAGATATGATTGGCATTGCTTTCACTGGTTCCGGCAAAACCCTCGCCTTCTGCCTTCCCTTAATCATGCTCGCACTGGAAGAAGAGACAAAGCTCCCGTTTGTTCGTGGAGAAGGACCAGTAGGTGTTGTTCTCTGTCCCTCACGCGAGCTGGCCACACAGACATATGAAAATGTGCTTGCCTGGACAGGCGCGCTTGCGAGGGACGGAAAGTACCCACAGCTCAACACTCTCCTCTGTATTGGCGGCATATCAATGGGCGAACAGAGTCACGTGCTCAACAAGGGTCTACACATTGTGGTAGCGACTCCTGGCCGTCTGATTGACATGCTAGAGAAGCGAAAATTCACATTTAACAATAGCAAGTTTTTGTGTATGGATGAGGCTGATCGGATGATTGATTTGGGTTTCGAGGATGACGTACGCAACATTATGAGCTTTTTCAAGGTATGCATTCGTAATTGTTAATTGGCTGTGATTTATTCATAGTACTTGATAGCGACAACGGCAAACCTTACTTTTCTCTGCGACAATGCCCCGAAAGATCCAAGACTTTGCGCAGCAGTCGTTAATCAAACCTGTTCTTGTGAATGTTGGCCGTGCTGGCGCTGCAAATTTGGACGTTCTTCAGGTGGTGGAGTATGTCAAGCAGGAGGCGAAGATGGTTTACTTGCTGGAGTGCCTTCAGAAAACGGCTCCTCCAGTTATTATCTTTAGTGAGAACAAAAATGAAGTTGATGGTAGGCTATTCTCTTCTCTCTCAAACGTCGAAGTCCTCATTTTATACCAGATATACAAGAATACCTCTTGCTGAAAGGTGTCGAGGCTGTGGCAATTCACGGTTCAAAGAGTAATCATTTTTCATCATTGCTAATTACAGACGTCCTTACTTTTGTCTTTAGCCCAGGAGGAACGACAATACGCCATTAAATCGTTCAAGTCCGGCGCCAAAGATGTTATGGTGGCTTCGGGCGTTGCCTCAAAGGGCCTCGACTTCAACGATATTCAACACGTCATCATCTTCAGCATGCCTAAAGAGATCGAGGACTACGTACATCAAATTGGCCGTACAGGACGTAGCGGAAAGACTGGCATAGCTACAACGTTTGTAAACATGACAACACCAGAGCAGACACTTCTAGATTTGAAATATTTGTTGATGGAGGCTGGACAGAAGTATGTTGTCTGTCTCACTCCAATGTGTCTTGCTGACATGTAACAGGGTTCCACCCTTCTTGCGGACCATCGAAGATCCTCGAGCAGCACAGGGTGGCTCGCTCAAAGGCTGCCCTGTATGTGGAGGTACGCGTGATATTTAATTAACCAGAATTGCTTGTTGATTTCAGCATCAGGTCTTGGACACGGGATATCGAATTGTCCGAAGTTGGAAGATGCTCAGAGACGACAGATG